TTTCCTGACTATTTCCTAATTTTCGATCAAGAATATTTACTTCTTTCTTATCCTACTGCTAATAAATTGAATTCTTGCAACGAATTTTATTACCTATTCATCAAAAAATTTCAATATTTATAAAAATAATTTAATTTTTGCGAAGAATTTTAGAAAATTTTTTAAATAATTAATTTCTTTCGACTAATTTTATGTAAATTCCAATTTAGAAATTCCAAAAAGAATTGAATTCTCATGAAGATTTTTACAAAAAATTTTGTTTAAAAATTTTATAAAAATAGTAGATATTGAAAATCATTAAATTGCAAAAAGTTTTTAAAAATAATTAAATTTTACAAAGAATTTTATTCTATAAAAAATTTTAATTGAATGCTTTTGTGGTATTTTATTAAATTTTTTTTTTAAATAATTGAATAGCTAAAAAGAATTTTAATATTTATGAATATAAATGAATTCTTACATACGATTTTTTTTTTAAATAATTGAATTTACAAGAAAAAATTTATAACTTTTAAAAATAATTGAATTTACAAAAAAAAATTTATAACTTTTAAAAATAATTGAATTCTTGTGATGAATTTATTGTTATTTATGAAAATAATTGAATTTTTCAAAGAATTATGTTAAAATGCCTGAAAATAATTGAATTTTCGAAAATAATTATTTTGTTATGAAAATAATTGAATTCCTGTGAAAAATTCTAATAGTTTTGTAAATAATTGAATTCTTCCAAAGAATTTTAAAAAAACATTTTTTAAAAATAATTAATTTTTTCTTGGAATTGAAATTAACTTTTTAAGAATAATTACATTTTAGAGCATTTCTTGTAAAATTGTATTAAAAATAATTGAAATCCTGCGATCAATTTAATTATTTATGAAAATAATTGAATAGTTGCAAAGAATTTTATTAAAATTTTTTAAAAAGAATTGAATTTCTTAGAAGAATTTTTGTTATTCACGAAATTAATTGAATTATTGCGAAGAATTTTGTTATTTTTATCTATGAAAATAATTGAATTCTTCATAAGAATTTTATAAACATTGTTTTAAATAAATAATTTTTTTGAAATATAATAAAGATTATGATAAAATTTTATTTTAAATAATTGAATTCTTGTGGAAAACTTTCTTTGCAAAAATAATTGAATTTTTCAAATAATTAATTTAAAATAGTATTAAAAATAATTGATATTCTTCAATACGAGTTTTATTATTTAAGAAAATAATTGAATTCTTGCTTAGAATTTTATCAAATTTTTTTTAAAGAATTGAATTTCAATGAAAAATGTTATTAGTGAAAGTAATTGAATTATTGTGAAGAATTGTATCAAAATTTGGTTAATAATTGATTTTTTTGAAAAAGTTTTTCTAAATTAATTGAATTCCTGTGAAAATTTTATTATTTATAAAAATAATTGAATTTTGGAAGAATTTTATCAATTTCTTTTTAAATAATTGAATTCTTTTGCGAAATTTTATGAAAATACTAGATATTGAAAATAGAATTTCGAATATTTTTTGAAAATAATTGAATCGTTTTAAAGAATTTAATAATAATTTTTGAGAAGAGTTTTTTAATTTCCAGTATTAACGAATTTTAAATAGTGGAAATTCTAAAAAAAAAGCCGAAATAAAATTATTTAAATAAAAAACAGACTAAAATTTCTTTTTGGTAAAACTAAAAATTATTTAGTTAATTTTTCTAGTTAAAAAAAGTTAAAACTAATATTTAATTTTATTAAATTAAAATCGATTTGGTTTTGAGTAAATAAATTTTTTTATCGTACCGATAATTAAAAGATTCTTGTTTAAAATTTTTTTGTATTTAAATTTATTAATTATTTTATTCATTATTGAATGTAAATTTATTATTGAAAAAAAATCGTACATTGATTTTTTTCATGGAATAATATTTTTCCTTTTTTTTGCAAGTAATTAAAAATATATAAGTGCGATTAATTCAATATTCACTTGATGTGAGTAAACTAATGAAAAAAAAATTACACAAATAATTATTAATCCATTATATATCAAATGACGCGACGTGACAATCAATAATGCATTATTTTTGCAAATTACATACGCGTGAAAAACAAAAATACAAAACAATTTAACAATTGAATATATGTCTTTGAGTTATTAAATTCCTAATTTCAATATTAAACAGTAAAGAAATTATATGTTATTATAGTCAGAAACTATGATTAATTGGAATTCGTATTCTTGAAATTCACGTCATTTTCAAATTGTTCGGGTATTCCAGCCAGTATTTGTATTTTTTTACATTATTATTTATTATTATTATTTTACATTATTAATTAATTTTTTACATTGTTTTAAATTAATTTTAATTGCTTTAAATTAATTATAATTGCTTTACTCTCTTTTTATTGAAGCAAAAAGAGTGTAAAGTAATTAAAATTAATTTTCATTGTCTTACGTTACTTTTACATTTATTCTACTGGTGTGAAAGCCGCTTAATTGAGAAGAAAGTGAGCGCGCAAGCATAAGGAGCGTAGTGGGGACAGCGAGAGTGAGAGAGAACTACTCGAACTTCTCTCTCGCTCTCATTACCCCCACTACGCTCCATGCGCTTGCGTACTCCGCTTTTTCTTAGTTTACTATCTTCGGTAACAATTAGTCGTCGTTAGTACAAACACAAAAGAAAGAGGGAACAATAGAGAGAAAAGAAAGTAGGTTTCCTCGAAGAAGGCAAAGAATAAAATTATAATAAATTTGACATTTGGAAAAAAATAGTAATTAAATAGAATATTAAAAAAGAGTGTACTCGTTTAGTGCATGAAAGTGAATTATGAAATAAAATTTAATCAACTCATTGCCATTGATTATATTGGACCAAATCCAAGAATGAATTTCCGCTCAATTGTAGAGAAGTTTCTCGTTCAGAATGCATTTGAAATAAAGCTTTCTTTGTGCTCTAGAAATGCATCACGTCTAATATAGGTCCATAAGTGATTTATTCTTAAAATAAATTTTTATTATACTAGTGTCACGTGGTCGAAAATTTTATATATTCATAATTGAAAAGTTTTACTTTAAATGTAGTACTATCAATTATTATTTAAATTGACATTATTAAATTTAGATTGTTATTTATTTAAATTAATATTAGAAATTTATTACATAATAAAATTTTTAATTAAATATTGTAATTTATAAAATTTATTTAATTTTAATTAAAGATTATTTAACTAATTTTAATTCATTAATTAACTAAAAATAAGTTAATATTAAATTAACATAAAATTAAATTAATACATTGCTTTAAATTACTTTACATTGTTTTTATATTTACTTTACTGGTGTGTAGGGCGCTTAATTGCAAAGTAGATGAACGCGCAAGCGCATGGAGCGTAGTGGGGATAATGAGAGTGAGAGAGAACTACTAGAACTTCTCTCTCACTCTCATTACCCCCACTCCAGTTTTAGCGCGAACAACAGTAGACTGTGAATTATACTTTGTAGATAAATAAATTATCATTAGAAATGTATTTAATAATTTAAAAATTAAGATAAAATTTTAATTAATTGATATTGAAATTTATATTGAACTAAAACAAAGTTAACATTACATTAATACTGAAATAAAAGTAAATTAATATTCAAATAAAATGAAGTTGACATTAATTTAAAATTAAATGATTATTGAACTAAATGTAAATTAATATTGATACTTAACTGAAACTAACTCAATATTAAATTAAAATTAAATTCATATTTAACTAAAAGTAAATTAATAATGAAATAAAATGAAGTAAATATTAAATTAAAATGAAATTAATACTGAATGAAAAGTAAATTAATATTGAACTAAAATTAAATTAATAGGTAATTTAAAATTGAACGAACATTGAAATAAAAGTATTTTTCATTCTGAACTAACAGTAAATTAATACTAAACTAAAATTAAGTTAATATATTAAAAATTAAAATATTATTTAACTAATATTAAATTTATAATCAGTAAATTTAAATTAATTTTAAAATACAATTAAATTAGTTTTAAATTAAAATTAAAATAATACATTACTTTACATTGTGTAAGGCGCTTAATTGCAAAGTAGTTGAACGCGCAAGCGCAGGCAGCGTAGTGGGGACAATGAGAGTGAGAGAGAACTAATTGAACTTCTCTCTCACTCTCATTGCCTCCACTCAGATTTTTGCGCTACATTATTAATTTAAAATTGAATTACTATTCGACTAAAGAGAAATTAATAATGAAATAAAATTGAATTCAACATTAAATAGAAATTAAGATAATAATACTGAACTAAGATTAAGTTATTACTTAATAAAAATTATATCAATATCAAACTAAAATAAAATTAATACTGCACTAAAATTAAGTTAGTATTAAATTGAAATTAAATTCATTCGTTACTATAATTAAATAATTAATAATAAATTTAATGTTAAATAAATATTGAATTAATATTGAAATAAAATTAAGTAAAAAATAAAATATAAATTAAACTAAAAAATAAAATTATGTAAAAATTAAACTAAAATTAGATGAATATTGAACTAAAATTAAATTATTAATTTATAAATTTAAATGTTATTTAATAAATAACGTTTGTGTGAGGGGAAAAAATAAAGAGTATATTTTATAAATGAAAAATATGTACGTATTTTATTAATTTTTACAATCACATAATAAAATATTAATATCATTAAATTAAATAGCATTTGAAAAATAAATTTTTATTTACGAAGATTACAACTGATCTGAAGTTTATATCGTGAAAATGGAACAACGCAGAGACCTCTTAAAATGAAGATATATACTGCAGCTAACAAATTATTGTCGATAACGCAGAACTTCTCTCGATTTTAAAAATAAAAAATAATTTCACTTATAACTGACTACAAGTGAAAATTATTTTACAATTAAAAAATTTCAAACATGAAGAGAATAAATTATTATTATTATTATTATTATTAATTAATGACTTTTTTTCCACGAAACATCAAATAAAATAAAAATATAATACTGATATAAATATAATTCAAAATAAAATTGAAAAGAAAAATATAATAAAAAATATATTGCCATTCGGAGGGGGGGATAGAAACAATTTTCTCTGATTTTTTTTTATAGAAATAAAAATTATGCGCAACCATATTCAAGCCAAAGGGAATTTTTACTTGCTGATCTTTTTGGATACTTTGGTTTGTTATCGATGATTTCCTTCTGATTTTCGTCTTCATTTGAATTTCCATCTTCGGATTCGTTTATTATTTCAAATGGCGCTCGATTATTGTGAAATTGTTTCAGTTTTTGAATTGGTTCATTTTGCTGTTCATCTTCGGACGAAGGAATTTTAAAATCCGACTGGAAAACAAAATTCAAAATTTTTATTTCTATATTTATTTGGAATTAATATAATAAAAAGCAATAAAATATTTATGATAATAAATTAATTTAATAATAAATAAAATAGTAACAAGTGAATAAATAATAATAAATAAAAAAGAAATTTGAAAATCCGACTGTAAAAATTCAAAATTTTTGTTTCTAACTTTAATTGGAATTAATATAAAAAAATTTCATTAAAATATTTATGATAATAAATTAAATTAATAATAAATAATAGTAATAAGTGAATAAATAATAATAAATTAAAAACAACTTTGAAAACCGCCTTGAAAAATTTTTGTTTCTAAATTTATTTAGAATTAATATAAAAAATTGCAATAAATTACCTATTTATGATAATAAATAAGAATAGTAATAATTTATTGAATATGAATAATAATAAATAATAATAATAAACTAATTAATTAACAATAAATAATAATAAATAAAAAACGAATTTGAAAATCCGACTGGAGAATATAGTATAAATTAATAAATAGAAAAAAATTTTAATTATTTTTTTGCAGTAAAATAAATAGAAATAATTAAAAATTCGTGACTCACATCTGAAGGAGATCCAGAAATTTCATTGTCCTCATAGAAATTGGAAAATTTGCGTCTCCCTACACTTCCGAAACTTCCCAGAGACACATAATCCCGAGATCCTAAATTTCTTTTTCCTAAAATTTATTTTTTTTTTAAATTGTTAATAAACCAGAAAAGTAATAATAAAATACAAGGAAATTTACATAGGCAGCAATTAATATTATTTTTTTCATAATTAATAATTTCAAATAAATTTACCTCGTAATAATCGTGGATCGAGTGTCATTGTACGATTTTTCATTTCATTCGTTACTTTGTTATCTGTTTCTTTAATATTATCCTCCCAAGAATTAGAAGAACGACGACTCTAAAAAATTTAATTAAATTTATTTTGAAAAAAATCAATGAATTTCAGTAATAAAAAAGTTTATTTTTATTTTTTTAAATTAAAATTTAAATATTTACCCTATTAAACAAATCGGAAGTGGTTTTTATCATTTTCGAAACAAAATTTGGTTTTGTAGTTTTCCTGCAATTGCAAAAAATATTGTAAGAAATTTGGAAATAACTTTTTGTAAAATATTCAGTTAAAAACTGAATAAATCAATTATTTATTAAAATAAATAATAAATTTTTTAAAAATAAATAATAAATTATATAAAATAAGTAAATAATTTACCCCTTATTACATGTCGAAGGTGGTGCGTTTTTGTAATATTCCATTATTTTTTCCTCCAATTTTCTCACGTGACAATTCATTTGATTAATGGTGTTTCTATAAATAATTAGAAGATTTTAATTTAATGAATTTTAAAGTAATTAAAAAATTTGTTTACTCTACTAATTTTTGAATAAAAAATTTGAATACAGATGTACTCTGAGAAAAATATTATTTGAATCAAGTAACATATTTACTTGTCTATATACTTATCAAATAAATAATTATTTACTTGAATCAAAAAATTTTTATTTGAATCAAATAATTTTTTTCCTATGTATTAAATTATTAATTAAATTATTAATTTAAATTTATTCAAAATTTAATTAAATGTATTAAATTAATATTAATGTATTAATATACTGACATGTAATTTTTTTTTTCCTGATAAAAATTATCCTTTTCCTCCAAAGTTTGCTCGAGAAAGTCTTTATTTTGAAGTGTCAGATCGTGTGTGTAAGTCATAAGTTTCTGCCGATCGGTATTTAAATGATCATTCATTTCCATTAGTTCCTGAAAAAGCAAGAAAAAAAACAATTAGTAAAAAAATAAAAAAATTTTATATTATTATTATTTACTCGGAAAAAAAATTTCTTACCTCGCAACGTTGATTCAAATTTTTGATTTTATATTCCAAACTCAAACATCTTTGTTCTTTGGTAGATAATGCATCTTGCATGTCGCTTACTTTAATTTTCAATTTATTTAAATCCTCATTACTTTTCTCTTCCAGATTTTTATGCTGAACCATCAGTAGTTTCGAATTCACGAACATGTTCCGGAAATCCTCCTAAATCAGTTGAGTCATTAGCACATTTTTTATAACAAATTTTTTATAAATTTATTAGTATTGTAAAATTTAATTGAAAACTATTATTTATTATTAATTATTTCGCAAATTAATTAATTTAAGTATTTATTTATATATTTCTTTTGAAAAACGAATTTGACTTGAAAAAGTCAAATAGAAAAATTGTTCTTCTTAGTTTTGTAGTTTCCAATTAAAAAGCAATTGTTCTATTAAAAAAATAATTCATAATTATTAACTTTTAATTGTTTTAATTAAAAAGTAATTTCTAGTTTAATAACTCTCAATTGTCTTAATTAAAAAGTTATAATTTAAAATTTGGTACTAACGATTATTTTAATTAAAATGTAATTTGTAATTAAAATAATTGTAATTAAAATAAATAATAATTTTAATTAGAAAGTAATTAATAATTAGTAAGTTTTAATTGTTGTTGTTAAAAAGTAATTTCTAATTAATAACTTTGAATTATTTTCATTACAAAATAATTAATAATTAAGGACTGTTATAATTAGGAAGATATTTGTAATTAATTTAATTATTTTAATTGAAATATAATTTATAAATAAAAACTTTTAATTGTTTTAATGAAAAAGTAATTTATAATTAGGTAATAACTTCCGAATTATTTTAATTTAAAAAATAATTGGAAATATTATTTTTACAATTTATAAATTATTGTTATAAAAAAATATATCTATAACAATACTTTTAATTGTTGTAATTAGAAAGTTATTTATAATTAATTTATTTATTAAAAATAATTTATATATGAAAACTTTCAATTGTTTTAATAAAATGTAAAAACAAATTAATAATTAATTTTAAAAAAGTAGTAAAGAGTAGCTTTCAAACTAAAAAAAGTAGTAAAAAATTAGCTAATATCGAAAAATTAAACTTTGACGACCAAAATTGCGAAAAGTTTTCAAAAATAATTAAATTTTACAAAGAATTTAATTAAAATGTTTTTTAAAGAATTGAATTCTTGCAAAAGATTTTATTAGGATTATTCAAAATAATTGAATTTGCAAGAAAAAATTTATTACTTTGAAAAATAATTGAATTCTTGTGATGAATATTGTTATTTATGAAAATAATTGAATAGTTGCTAAGAATTTTATGAAAGTGCCTCAAAATAATTGAATTTTCGGAAATAATTTTGTAATTTATTTTTAAATAATTGAATTCTTTCGAGGAATTATTTATGTAAATAACTGAATTCTTGGGAAGAATTTTATTAAAATGTAAAAGAATAATAATTGAATTATTTCAAAAAAATTTAATTTAAATTGTATTCAAATTTTAAAATAATTGATTTGTTTCGAACAATTTTATTAAAATATTTGAAAATATAATTGAATTCTATCAAAAAATTAAAAAAAACATTTTTTTAAAATAATTAATTTTTTCGATGAATTGAAATTAAATTTTTAAGCTTAATTATATTTTTTGAGCAATTCCTGAAAAATTGTATTCAAAATAATTGAAATCCAGCCATGAATTTTATTATTTTTGAAAATAATTGAATTCTTCATAAGAATTTTATAAACATTGTTTTAAATAATTAATTTTTTCGAGAAATATAATAAATAATTATCAAAATTTTATCATAAATAATTGAATTCTTGTAGAAAATTTTATTTTTGTGAAAATAATTGAATTTTTTGATTAATTAATTTAAAATAGTATTAAAAATAATTGAAATTCTTTGATGAGTTTTATTATTTATGAAAATAATTGAATTCTTGCTTAGAATTTTATCAAAAAGTTTTTTTTAAAAATGGAATTTCCATGAAAAATGTTATTATTAGTGAAATTAATTGAATTATTGTGAAGAATTGTATACAAATTTTCTTAAATAATTGACTTTTTCGAAATTTTTTTTGAAAATGCTATTCTAAAGTAATTGAATTCCTGTGAAAAATTGTATTATTTTTGAAAATAATTGTATTTTGAATGAATTTTATTAATTATTTTTTAAATATAGTTAAATTCTTTTGCGAAATTTAATGAAAATACTAGATGTTGAAAATAATTGAATTTCGAATATTTTTTGAAAATAATTTAATTTTGAATATTTTTTTATAATAATTAAATAGTTTTTTTTCCTTTCATAAATTGCTTTTTAATTTATAAAAAAAATACGAAAATATAAAAAAAAGTATTTTTTTTTAATTCTAAAATTTACCTTCAACTTAATATGCTCCTTCTTGAGATTCTTGTAATTTCTCATTTCCATATCGTAATTTTCCCGATTACTCTGCAAATCGCTGTAATCCAATTGAAGTTTATCGTGTGATTCTTGAAGTAATTTTAATTCACTGTTAACATCTTTGAGATTATTTTTCAAAATTTCCCTCTCGTGAAGACGATTCACGTAATCTTTACTCAATTGATCGTGTTGAAATTCAAGTGTAATTTGATCGTCAAGTTCATCTTGTTGTTTCTTCAATGATATTTGCAGTTGCTTATTCTCTTGTTTCATTATTTTATAATTATGCTCTAAATGCGAATTTTGATGAACTAATCGCTCATATTTTTTACTCAATGATTGGAATTTTATTTCAATGTCTTTTCGCTCTTTATCGAGATCCATTAATTTTTGAGGACTTCTTTGAAATGAATTTTCTTCCTTCATTGATTTTACAATTGACGAGAGACGACGATTTTCCAATTCGAGCCTTCGCGCCTGCTTTTGAGCACTGTTTGTCAATTGATCTGACAATGATTTATTTCCAATGCCTATTATTTGGTGAACAAACAAAATGTAATTATTTATTGAAAAATTAATTATTATTATTATTTTTAAAAAAAATTTTTTCAGTATTTTTAATTTTAGTTAATTTTTATTTAATTTTAATTTTAGTTAATTTTAATTTAATTTTAATTTTAGTAAATATTATTCTATTTAATTTTTATTTTAATTTCGTTACTTAATAATCATTATATTATCAATATAATATTATTTTTCAGTTTTCAAAATTTATAAATCTAGTAATTAATTATTATGAATGGAAAAATAAATATGAGCGCGATAGCCTCGGGGAAAGAACTTTAGTCTTCAAGTTCGTAGGTCGCGGGTTCGATTCCCCTTGTCCGTGACTTTTATAAAAAGAATTAATAAAAAAAAATAGTTTCAGTTAATTAATTATTTACAATATTAATAACTTTAATGATTTATTTTATTAGAGTAATTAATAAACATAAATAGATAGAAAATAATGTAGTAAAAAATAGTAATATTATTAATTTACAATTTAAATTAATTAAACTATGACTTATGATAAAATAAATTAAAATTATTATCTAACAATAATAATATTAAATAATAAAATGATTATTGAAAATAAAAAAAAATTTTTTTGAAGAAAAATCGAATAATAAAAGAAGGAATAATAATTAATTTGAATAATTATTTAAATTAATTACCTGGCTCATCGGAATCGAAACCAGATTCCACTATTGAAACATCTTTTGAAGATTTGGCCAAAACTTGCAGGTGAATATTTTCTTCTTGAAGCTGTTGATATTTTTCTCTCTCAGCCGTTCGTTCCTAATAATTTTTTTTAATAATTAAAATAATTTTTCTTTTAAATAATAATTAAACAAAATATTCTTTTTAATAATTAAAAAAATTTTAATAATTAATGAATTTTCTATTAATAAAAAAAAATTTAATAATTAATAAATTTTCTTTCAATTAAAAAAAAAATTTAATAATTAATGAATTTTCTTTTAATTAACACAAATTTTTTAATATTTAATCAATTTTCTTTTAATTAAAAACAAATTTAATAATTAATAAATTTTCTTTCAATTAAAAAAAAAATTTAATATTTAATGAATTTTCTTTTAATTAAAAAAATTTTTTAATATAATTTACAAAGTTTCTTTTAATTAAAAAAAATTTTTTAATAATGAAAACTTAATGAAAATATGAAAAATTAAATAATAAATAAAAGTTTCATTGAGTTATTTACCGCAGTTATTTTTTCAACAAGTTGTTTACAGTCGGCAATTTGTGCTTCAAGTTTGGGAATTTTCTCATTCAATTTTCGCTGTGATTTTAATTCGTCCTCTAGTGTCTCTTTTGTTTCTAATAAAACTCTAAAAAGGGAGAAAAAAGAAAATGTTTTTTGTTAATTTTTTTTTGTATGAGAAAATTTTTTCTTTTCAAATAAAAAAGTAATATTTAAAGAAAAAAAAAGAATTCAAAGAGGAGAATAAATTTACTTGTTGTCCTCGCGTATTTCCTCGATGGTAGTTTTGTAAAATTCGAGATCATTCATTTTTTCCCGATAACGTGCAACTTCCATTTCAAGACGATCAACTTTCTCTCCCTTTTCAATCGCAGCATCCAATTCATCTCGATAAGATTTGGCAGTTCGCGCTTGCAGCATCAATTTTTCATTCTGCAATTTTTTTTCTACTTAGAAACTTGTTGCTTCAATTGTTAAATTAATGATTAATTTAATTACTATTATTATAATTCAATTATAATTAATTATAATTTTAATCATTAATTAATAATCGATAATAATTAAATTATTATTAATTAACAATGAATTATAATTCAATTATTATTAATTAATATTTAATGATAATTAAATTATCGTTAGAAAATTATAATTAAATTATCATTAATTAACATAATTAGGTTAATTAAATAATTTATTTAATTTCCTTTATTTATTTTATTAATTATATTTTATTATTAAATTTAAACTTAAATTATTTTAATTCTTTATTTGAAACTTGAATAGAAAATAATAGAAAAAAATTAATAAAATAGAAATGAAAAATAGTAAACGAAAAATTAAAAAAAGATTTTGAAAAATTACCTCTTCATAAAGTTTTGCAATTAGAATTGTATTGTGCTCAACTTCTCCTTTGCATTCCATTAGATATTCACATTTCTCTTCCCTAAAACAATTAAATATGGAAAAAAATAAATACTTAGAAGAAAAAAAAATGGTAAAATTTAAAAATTTAGTAAATTTAATAATTAATTTGATAAATTATAAAAATATTAATTGAAAAAAAAAATTATCAAATTTAAAAATTTGAGAAAATTATTTTTCATAACTAATTTGATGAATAATAAAAATATTAATTGAGAGAATAAAAATTGTCAAATTCTAGAATTTGAGAAAATAATTTTTTATAAATAATAATTTGATGATTATAAAAATAATATTTGAAAGAAAAAAATTTATCAATTTTAAAGATTTATTTATTTATTTGATAAATTATAAAAATATTAATTGAAAACAAATAATTATCAAATTTAAAAATTTGAGAAAATAATTTTTCATAATTAATTTGATGAATAATAAAAATATTAATTGAGAGAATAAAAATTATAAATAATTTACTTTTAAAAATTTAAGTAAATAGTTTGATAATTAATTTGATAAATTATAAAGAAATAATTTGAAAGAACAAATTTTTTAAAAGAAAGAGAAAAAAATAAAATTAAAAAATTTAGTAAATAATTTGCTAATTAATTGGATAAATATTATAACAATAATATTTGATAGAAAAAAAATGCGTAAAATTGAAAATTTCGATAAATTATTCATTATAATTAATATGGAAAAATTATTTTTATAAAAAAATAATTAAAAAATAAAAAATTTTTGAATATTCTTGAAACTTACAATTCGTTTCGTAGTTTTCTGACTTTAGATTTTAAATTTGCCACCTCATAACAAGACTGATCCTCCTCACTTTCAAAATAGCCAGTCGAATTTAATACAGATTTACTAAAATAATCACTTCTCGAAAGAATCATTGAATTATTGCATATATCAGGTTCTCTAAGTTCGAATTTCTTTAATTTCTGAAAATAAAGACATTTTTCTTGTTAATTTTTTTGCAATTCTAATTTATGAATATAATAAAGGGGAAAAAAAATTTTATTATTACCTCGCGATATAAATTTCTCTCTTCGATTAAATTTTTCATCTGGGGAAATAAATCAGATGCATTAAGATTCAGTAATAATTCTTGATTAATCACAATACTCTGATCCTCGGTAACCTGCGATGAAAAAAAAATTCATTAGAAACAATTCTGTAATTTTAATTATTAATTTTTTTTAATATTTAAAAATATTTATATTAATTTAGTTAATTAATTAATTAAACAATATTTTTTTTTACTTTCTATTGTTTATTTATATTTATTTTTATTTTTTTTTATTTATTTATATTTCTTTTTATTTCTTTTTATTTATTTATATTTATTTTTATTTATTTTTATTTATTTATATTTATTTATATTTATTTATATTAATTTATATTATTTTTAGATGAATTAGTTATTAGTCTAATAATTTTTAATTAATATCTAATTAAGTATATAAAATAAATAAAAATTATTTAAAAACAGACTTACCAATTTAATAAGATGGACAATTTGCTCTTGAATCGTGACATCGAGAGTTTTAATTTTGTGAATAAAAGTTTCTTTCATTTGGCACTGAATTGCGCAGCCCAAAATTAAAAGCAGTAAATGTTTCATTTCTTCCACGTGTGATTCTGGTTTTTTGGCCAAATCGAAAACATTTGGTAATTTTACTAAAATTTGTCCTAAATTTTCTTCATAATATTGTTTGAGATTTTCTAAAATACTCTCCAAATTTCTCAATCTCATGGACCATTCTTCATTTGCAGTTAAGATATCATTGTGATACGGTTGGGGACATCTGATATAATTAAAAAAAAAGAATTACAAAAAATTAAAGTCTGAACTTTTTTTATTATAAATAATTAAATTATATTTAAATTAATTAAACATTTTATAGATTTTTTGTTGATTCAGTTAATATTTTAACTATTTGTTTATATTCGTTTTTCATATTGCTTAATATTATAAATAATTATTTAACATAATTTCTATGAAATAAAATAACAGTTTGATTTAATTTTCAAAAAAACAGAATTTTCATTTAGTAAAATTTCTACTTGACCCATGAAACTTCATTCAATAGAATTGTTTTATTTACCGCAGAATTTCTATTTTATCTTTTTTTTGACTTATTTTCAAAAATTTATAATTGAAAATAATTCATTTTTTTCAAGTATTATTATTACAATTTTTGAAAATCAACTTTTGAAGAAATTTAATTGCAAATTTTGTGAAAATAATTTAATTCTCAAAAAAATTTAATCAAAAATCTTCAAGTGTAAATTTATGAAAATTAATAAAAACTAAAAAATAATATTAACATTTTTTTTAAAAAGTAATTCTTAGGATTTTTTTCATTATAAATTTTTTAAATTCAATTATTGTCAATATTTTCAAAAATATAATTTCAAAAATTCAAATACATAGATACAAAAAATAATACAAACATAAATATGTTTCAAAATTATTTTTAAAATTTTGGAGAAAACAATCATTGTGAAAATTTTTAATTAAATTCTACAAAAAATTACTTAGTTTTTTTTATTATACAAAAATTCTTCTAAGAAATTCAATTATTTTCGAAAAATTACATTAGAATATTTTATATTTTTCAAAAATTCAATTGTTTTTAAAAAATTTTGTCAAATTTCAATTATTTTTAAACGATTTTACCAAAATTCAATTGTTTTAAAAAGATTTTATCAAATTTCAATTATTTTTAAACAATTTTACCAAAATTCAATTATTTTTTAAAAATGTTGTCAAATTTCAATTATTTTTAAACGATTTTACCAAAATTCAATTATTTTAAAAAAGATTTTGTCAAATTTCAATTATTTTTTAACGATTTTACCAAAATTCAATTATTTAAAAAAAATTTTATCAAATTTCAATTATTTTTAAACAATTTTACTAAAATTCAATTATTTTTGAAAAATTTTGTGGAATTTCAATAATTTTTAAACGATTTTACCAAAATTCAATTTTTTGGAAATTTTTTAATTTTATAGGTATAAATTGAAAGTCGATGCGAGGCCTGAAAAAGCAAAAAATTTGACAGACTTTTTAATTGACCTAATTTTTCTTTAGTAAAATGTATATTTGACCTAATTTTCATTTAGCAGAATTTTCATTTGACAAAATTTCTATTTGGATTAATTTTTGTCAAGCAGAATTTCCATTGAGCCAAATTTACATAAAAGCAAAATTTCTATTTAACTTTAATTTTCATTTAGCAGATGACAGAATAGCTACTGAATTTAATTTTCATTTAGCCTAATTTTTTATTTACGATAATTTCCATTTGACCTAATTTTCATTTAGCAGAATTTTCATTTCACAGAATTTGCATTTGAATTAATTTTTATTAAGCAGAATTTCTGTTAAGCCTAATTTACATAAAAACTCATTTTTATTTATTTTAATTCTCATCTAAATAAATCGTTATTTGATCTAAATTCGTTCAAATAAACATTCGACTTCAAAAATATTCGCTTTAATAAATATTCTGTTACTTAAAATTAATGTTAAATAAGATTTTTGTTACTTTTAAAACATTGTTAAATAAATATATTGTTAGAAAAATATTGTTAACAAAAAATACTGTTAAAAAAATATTGTTAATGAAAAATATAGTTAATGAAAAATATTGTTAATGAAAAATATTGTTAATGAAAAATATTTTTAATGAAAAATATTGTTAATGAAAAATATTGTTAATGAAAAATATTGTTAATGAAAAATATTGTTAAAGAAAAATATTGTTAATGAAAAATATTGTTAATGAAAAATATTGTTAATGAAAAATATTGTTAATGAAAATATTTGTTATGAAAAATATTGTTGATGAAAAATATTGTTAATGAAAAATATTTGTTACGAAAAATACTGTTAAACAATATCGTTGAATAAAAATGTCAAACATAGTTTTTGTGAATTTAAAAAAATCTTAATTTCTATTAAATAAAAATTCCAACAAAATTGAATTTTACAAATATTTTTTTTTTTGAACTGAATCAACAAACTTTATTTTCTAGAAAAATAAATTTTTTTGGAAAATTTTTGCGACTTACATTTGGGTAAAAACATCGTGAAGTAAAACTCCGTCCACAAGATCATCATACGATACCAGTAGATTTGCATCACTTAGACAGCTTATAAACTGTTTGTGAAAATATAAAACAATTTCAATTATTTATAAACTATTTGTGAATTTTATTTTTCTAATTTATCGAATTTATTTCATTTTGCTTTTAAATGCGAAGCGTGAATTTTATTTCATTAAAAACTTACCCAAGTGACTAAAGGTCCTGACAGAAATTCATCAATTTCAGATGACATCTTTATTTTTCAAATTGAAAAATTGCAGCAATACACTTTTAAATATCACTTATAATAAACATATAAATTTTTTGTTTTAAATAAAATAAATAAAAATTTGAATAAAATGAATATATTTTTCTTTGGTAAAAATTTGTTTCGAGTGTTTCTATCGGTGAATTTGTTTCTTTCTGTTAATTTTGTTACTGATTCGAATTTAAAAAAAGATAATTTAGTTGAATAAAAATTGAATCACTTAAAATCACTTTTAAAAAATACTGTTGGTCGACTTGAAATTTCTTGATTTAAAAAGGGAAATAATTCGTTTTTTTACATATAAAATATTTAAAATGTTGGCGTTTTCCGTTTTTTTTCACTATTTTTGCTTAATTCTTAACTTCTCACTGTATACAAAAATGACTAATTTACAAATAAGTGATGAAGTTTTCTAAGCACCTCAGTAACGTTTGAGGTTTTCAAGACGACTAATAACTTATGTACCTGGGTGACAAAAGGGACCCAAAATCTTATACTGTTTAAAATATCTCTATTAATACTTCCGGTAAATTATTTACCATAACCAAACACCTTCACACATATTTTTCAGGATGAAAAAATATTATTTAAATAATAGTGAAAAATAATTTTTTGATTTAAAAAATCAAACGAAGAAAATAAAAAATCAAACGTAGAAAATAAATGGTTCTCTCGGTAGGAATTAATAGTAAATCAATTTTCAAAAATAATATTTATTTTCAAAATTTAAAATAAATTTCAAAACTTAAATTAATTTTTAAAACATAAATTAATTTTCAAAACTTAAATTAATTTTCAAAAATTTAATTAATTACAAAATTAAATTAATGGATTAATTAAAAATTTTAATCAGAATTAAAATTTTGATTCAATTTTTTAATCATTATTATATTAAATATTTCTTATATATTTTTTAAATTATTATATAATTATACCTATTAATTAATAATTGTAATTAATAATTAAAAGCAATGTTTACTTGTAAATATTAATTGTAACTATTAATATTAATTATTAATTGTTATAATTTATTGTAAAGATTAATATCAAATATTAATTGCAATGTTTGAATGTAAATATTAATTGTAAATATTAATTTCAATATTTTTTGGTAAATATTAACTGTAAAGATTAATTACAAATATTAATTGCAATATTTAGTTGTGAATATTAATTGTAAAAATTAATTGCAAATATTAATTACAATGTTTTTTTTATCAAAATTCAATTGTTTTAAAAAGATTTTACAATTCAATTATTCAATTCAATTATTTTTGAAAAATTGTGTCGACTTTCAATTATTTTTTTACGATTTTACCAACATTCAATTATTTTAAAAAGATTTTGTCAAATTCCAAGTATTTTTATACGATTTTACCAAAATTCAATTATTTTAAAAAGATTTTGTCAAATTTCAATTATTTTTAAGCGATTTTACCAACATTCAATTATTTTAAAAAGATTTTGTCAAATTTCAATTATTTTTATACGATTTTACCAAAATTCAATTATTTTAAAAAGATTTTACCAAAATTCAATTATTTTTGAAAAATTGTGTCGACTTTCAATTATTTTTTTACGATTTTGTCAAATTTCAATTATTTTTGAAAAATTGTGTCGACTTTCAATTATTTTTTTACGATTTTACCAAAATTCAATTATTTTAAAAAGATTTTGTCAAATTTCAATTATTTTTAAAAGATTTTACCAACATTCAATTATTTTAAAAAGATTTTGTCAAATTTCAATTATTTTTTAACGATTTTACCAAAATTCAATTATTTTTAAAAGATAATAATATAATAATATAATTTTAATTGTTATCTTCAATTATAAATTTTATTTATTAATTGTATATATGAATTGTAATTAATAATTTCAATTGTTATCTTCAATTATTATAAATTTCAATTATTAATTGCAAATATTAATTGTAATGAATAATTTCAATTATTATCTTCAATTATAAATTTCAATTATTAATTGTATTAATAATTGTAATTATTAATTGCAATATTTAGTTGTAAATATTAACTGTAAAGATTAATTACAAATATTAATTGCAATATTTAGTTGTGAATATTAATTGTAAAGATTAATTTTAATTATTAAGGGCATTTGAACCATTATGACGTCACAATTTTAAAACTCATGCTTTGCACACATTGTGACGTCATAATGGTTCAAATGCCCTTAATTGCAATATTTGAATGTAAATATTAATTTCAATTATTAATTTTAATAATTTATTGTAAAGATTAATTTCAACGTTTAAATGTATATATTAATTTGAATTATTAATCTTAATTATTAATTGTAATAATTTATTGTAAAAATTAATTTCAATCTTTGAATGTAAATATTAATTGCAATTAATAATTTAAATTATTAATTGTAATTATTATTTGTAATAATTTATTGTAAAAATTAATTTAAAATATTAATTGCAATCTTTAAATGTAAATATTAATTGAAATTATTATTTGAAATTATTAAGTTCATTTATTAATTATAGTTATTAGTTGTAATTATAAATATGATTTTTAATTGTTAATGAATAAACATAAAAAGGATTAAAAAATAAATGAAATATTTTTAAAGAAGAAAAAAACAGGAAAGAACACGTTCTAAAATCAGTAGAAAGACAAAATATGAAAATTTTTGTGAAAATAGTGAAAATAGTGAAAATGAAGTAAAATGGGTACATGGTGAGAAAATTAGCATTTCACAGGCATTAATGACTACCTGTTTCTAAGAAAATGATACCTCATTTTGAACCCAAACCTTCAATTTCTAATCCCCATCGTAATTCTTCTATTATATTCTCAAGTTAAGGTCAAGCGAATACCTTGCAGTTTTTAAACAATATTTGCCCATTTTCTCCCACCATTATTTGTTCGCACCCCTTCTTCTTTTTCCTATTCTTCTTCTTCTATTCTCTCGCCCCTTACACTCTTTCCACTCTTTCTTTCTTTTTCATTTCGTTGACCATTCATTTCACTCTAGTAGCAGTTGCCTGTAAAGTTAGTGTGTCAGGCGTTCACTGTGTCATTTCATTAAAGAGAGAAAAAAATTGGAGGAAAAAATTGCAGAAGAGAAAAATATACAAAATTTTCTTTTAAAGTGCAACGAAACAAAAGGTAAATTTTATTTTTTTTCTTTTCTAGTTGAAAAAGTAGTGAAATTATATTAAATTAGTGTGACGCTTTTATTGTGATGACGCCATTAGTTGAATTAATATTTTTGCACGCAGAAGGAAAGAGAAGAGAATTGAAAAAAATTGCAAATATTTAAATAAATATTGAGGGGAATAATAATGAAAAAATAAAATAAAATATGTTAAAAAAGAAATGTATAAATAACACGTTTTCTTTTGCAGACAAGGCAGGAGTCGACATCTATGCACGAACTGTACAAGTCATTTGAGGAAATTCCATATCGATAATATCACTCAAGAAGTTTCCGACATTATCGAGGTAAAGTTTTCAAGTATATTTCAAATTTTTTCTTTTTATTTTGATTACATTTAATTTAATCATTTCAATTATTATTATTAATATAAATTAATTATAATTTTTTAAATTAAATACTTACACGCCTCGGATATTTATGACTTTTTCGACTAATCTTCCAAATTTTGCAACAAAATACCACATTCTTTATAGTATAAAATGCAACTAATTTCGATTTTTATAGTGTAAAAAGTATAACTATAGATAAATCTTTAAAAAATTATTTTTAAATAATTTTTTTATTTAATTTTCGAAATATTCAATTAAAAAGATTTTTAATAATTTAAATTTTAAAAATTTTTTAAAAATCAATCATTTTTCAAGTATTTTGTTAATAATTTTTTAAAATTAAATTTTGATGAATTTTAATTGAAAATTTTAGAAATAATTGAAAAGTTATTTTTGAATAAATTTTCTATTTAAATTTTTGAAATATACAATTAAAAAGATTTTGAATAATTGAAAAATTTTGTAAAATTTATTTAAAAATAAATCATTTTTTTTTCAAGAATTTTATTACAAGTTTTGAAAATTAACTTTTCAAGAATTTTAATTGAAAATTTTATGAAAATAATTGAAAAGCTATATTCGAATAATTTTTCTAATTAAATTTTCGAAATATACAATTAAAAAGAGTTTGAATACTTTAAAATTTTGAAAAAATTTAATTGAAAAAAATTGATTTTTTCAAGAATTTTATTACAATTTTTAAAAATTAAATTTTAGAGAATTTTAATTGAAAATTTTGTGAAAATAAATGAAAAGCTATTTTTGAATAATTTTTCTAATTAAAGTTTTGAAATATACAATTAAAAAGATTTTTAATAATTGAAATTTTGCAAAATTTAATTGAAAATAATTGGATTTTTTTCAAGAATTTTATTACAATTTTTAAAAATTAAAGTTTAGATAATTTTAATTAAAATTTTTGGAAATAATCGAATTCTCAAAAATATTAATGAAAAATCTTCAAGTGCAAAAATGAAAATTAATATGGAAATTAAGTTTTAAAAAATAATATTAAAATATTTTTGAAAAAACTAATTCTCAGAATTTTTTCTTTCTAATTTTTAATTTCAAATCTTTATATTTACTTAATATTAGACATATACCGTAAATTAATTCGACCTAATAATATCGTTAAACTTTTATCTCCTGTGGCCTATTTTTTATTTGACTCAATATTCTTTTGACCTAAGACACATCAGACTTAATCTCTTTTGATCTAATTCGCATTTAGCTTCATCATCTTTGACCTAATTTTTATTTGACGCAAATTATTTGTCTCTAATATTTATTTGACTTAAAATATTCTGACCTTATATTTATTTGACTAAAAATATTTTGACCTATTTTTTATTTGACTAAAAATATTTTGACCTATTTTTATTTGACTAAAAATATTTTGACCTAATATTTATTTGACTAAAAATATTTTGACCTAATATCTATTTGACTAAAAATATTTTGACTTATTTTTTATTTGACTAAAAATATTTTGACCTATTTTTTATTTGACTAAAAATATTTTGACCTAATATTTATTTGACTAAAAATATTTTGACCTAATATCTATTTGACTAAAAATATTTTGACCTATTTTTTATTTAACTGCAATTACTTTGACCTAACTTTTATTTATGATGTAAATTACTTGCGTCCAATTGTTATTTAACCAAAAGTATTTTGACCTAACTTTGATTTTGTTGTCTATTATTTCCACAAAAATTTTTATTTTACTAAAACTATTTTGACCCTATTTTTATTCGACTTTATCTAAATTGACCTAAATTTCATTTGACTTCAATTATGTTGACCTAATTATTCCATGACTTTAATTATTTTGATCTGAATTTTATGTGAATAAAATTATTTTGACCTAAATTAGATCAACCAAATCTTATCTTTATTTAACTAAAAATATTGTGAACGACCTTTTATTTGACTAAAATAGTTTTGACCAGATTTTTATTTGACCTAAATTATTTAGACCTATCTTTAATTTGACCTTAATTATTTTGACCCAAGTTTTAACCGACTTGAATTATATTAATCTAATTTTTTTATTAAAATTATTTCGACCTAATTTTTATTCGACTCAAATTACATTGACCTGATATTTATTTGACTGAATGTATTTTGAACTAATTTTAATTCGACTAAAATTATATTAATTTAATTTTTGTGTGACTTGGAACTATTTTGACTCAATTTCTGTTCAATTAATATTATGCTAACCTGATTTTTATTTGAGTGAAGGTATTTAGACCTACTTTTTATTTACCTAAATTGCTCTGACCTAAATTTTAATCGACCTTATTTTTTTATTGATCAAAATTATTTTTTAACTAATTTTTATTCGACTTGAATTATATTAACTTAATTTTTGTGAGACTTAAACTATTTGGATGCAATTTTTGGTCGATTAAAATTATACTGACCTAATTTTTGTTTGTCTAAAAGTATTTAGACCTATTTTCGACCTGACCTAAATTTGACTGAAATTATTTTGACCTAATTTTTGTTTGATTAATATCATAACTGACCTAATTTTTGTTTGTCTAAAAGTATTTTGACCTATCTTCGACCTGACCTAAATTATTATGACCTGAATTTGACTGAAATTATTTTGACCTAATTTTTGTTTGATTAATATTATACTGACCTAATTTTTGTTTGGCTAAAAGTATTTTGACCTATCTTCGACATGACCTAAATTATTATGACCTGAATTTGACTGAAATTATTTTGACCTAATTCTTGTTTGATTAATATTATACTGACCTAATTTTTGTTTGATTAATATTATACTGACCTAATTTTTGTTTGACTAAAAGTATTTTGACCTATCTTCGACCTGACCTAAATTTGACTGAAATTATTTTGACCTAATTTTTGTTTGATTAATATTATAACTGACCTAATTTTTGTTTGTCTAAAAGTATTTTGACCTATCTTCGATATGACCTAAATTATTATGACCTAAATTTGACTGAAATTATTTTGACCCAATTTTTCTTCAACCTAAATTACATTCATCTAATTTTTTTTTTATTTTCTTTCTTATAATTCTTCTTTGGCTGAATTTTTTTGACCTTATTCTGATTTGACTTTATCTTTCTCGACCCAATTTTCATTTGACATTATCTTCTTTGCCCTAATTCCTAAATTACTATCTTCTTGGTCCAATGAATATAAAACATACATTTTTGGAAGAAATAGAATTTTTTTTCAATTTCAATAAAAGTCATGCTTGCAGTATTAACGAGGCTAATTGTAAGTAAATATTATGCCAAGGTAAAATTAGGTAAAATTAGAATTTTTTTGAATAAAAACTATACTATAATGGAGTATAATGACAAATGATAATTAGGTAAACGAAGTTAGAATTGGAATAAAAAAAAAACCAATTTTTTTTTTGAAAAATTAAAAAAAAATTTTGTTAATTAACTATAACATATTTATAATTTTATTAAACTGTAGTAAAATTACATAAATATTATTTTCTGTTACAGACAATTTGCTGATAGTTGATTAGGAGAGTTAGATAATAATTTAGTTTATAAAAATGACGAATAATTTTCAATTTCTAAATTTTCTGGTGAATCGATGGAAAATATTTGCCAATGAAATAACATTAATTGTAATAGATAATTTACAATAATTTACAGTTTTTCGGTAAAACGATGGAAAATGTTGCAAAAGATTGTATAAATGAGGAGAAAATGAAAAAAATTAATTGTAATAGCTACTTTTTGTAGAAATAATTTTACAATAATTTACCGTTTTTCGGTAAAACGATGGAAAATGTTAAAAAGGATTGTATCAATGCGGAGAAAATGAAAAGAAAATTATTATTCTCTGTATTTAGGAATGTAACTAGGTATAAGTTGCGAAAATTTGTTTGTAAAATGTATATGAAATATAGTTTTTAAAAATAAAAATAAATAATTAATCACTAATGATCTATAGACCATTAATTAATGATTCAAAGTTATTATAATTATTACACGAAAATTGTTAATCCATTTTTCAGTGATCTATCGATCAAAAGCCTGCAAAAAAAAATTTCCGTTGTCTGAGATCGAGAAGTCATTTCCCGCAGTATTTGGTGCGCTGAATCCGAATCTGGCAACTAAAACCTCCAATCACGTCAGGATTTTGAGAAAAGTGGGGGTAAAAGTCCCAAAAATCACTTTTCAGCAGTTTTTGAAAATTTAAACAACAAAACTAATCTATGGATGATTATTACTGATCTATGGATCAGTAATTTATTATTATTACTAATTTATTAATCGGCTAATCAATACTCAAGTGAATTAATTAATTATTTCATTAATTCATTAATCTATAATTAATAATTTAAATTTGCTAATACATAAAACAGATGATCTAGGGATTCTTATAGATAAATATTCTAGGGATCTACAGATCAATAGTCTGTTTGGAAATTTTATGAAAATAGTAAATATTAAAAATGATTGAATTGCGAAAAGTTTTTGAAAATAATTAAATTTTACAAAGAATTCTATTAAAATTATTTAAAATAATTGAATGTCATTTTATTATTTTATTATTTATGAAAATAATTGAATTCTTGCAAACGATTTTATGAGAATGTTTTTAAATAATTGAATTTCCAAGAAAAAATTTATTACTTTGGAAAATAATTGAATTCTTGTGATGAATATTGTTATTTACAAAGATAATTGATTTTTACAAAGAATTTTATTAAAGTGCCTCAAAATAATTGAATTTTCAGGAATAATTTAAAAGAATAATTTAATTATTTCAAAAAAATGTAGGTAATTAAAATTGTATTTAAATTTTAAAATAATTGATTTCCTTTGAATAATTTTATTAAAATATTTGAAAATAATTGAATTCCTGTGAAAAATAAATTCTAATATTTTTGTAAATAATTAAATTCTTCCAAAGAATTTTAAAAACCTTTTTTTAAATTTTTCAAGGAATTGAAATTAAATTTTTATGAATATAAGTACATTTTTTCAGCAATTCCTGTAAAATTGTATATTAAAAGCAATGGAAATCCTGCGATCAATTTTATTATTTTAAAAAATAATTGAATAGTTGTAAAGAATTTTATTCAAATTTTCAAAAATAATTGAATTCTTGAGAAGAATTTTATTGTTTATGAAAATAATTGAATTGTTGCGAAAAATTTAATTGAAATGTTTAAAAAGAATTAAATTTCTGCAAAACTTGTTTTTTAATTTTTGAAAATGATTCAATTCTTTATAAGAATTTTATAAACATTGTTTTGAATAATTAATTTTTCCGAAATATAATAAATATTATAAAAATTTTATTTAAAATAATTGAATTCTTGTGAAAAATTATAATATTTTTAAAAATAATTGAATTATTGTGATGAATATTGTTATTTATGAAAATAATTGAATTTTGCAAAAAAATTTTTTAAAATGCCTCAAAATAATTGAATTTTCGGAAATAATTTTGTTATTTATTGACATAATTGAATTCTTTTGAAGAATTATTTTTGTAAAAAAATTGAATTCTTCCAAGAGAATTTAAAAAAAACATTTTTTTAAATAATTGATTTTTTCGAGGAATTGAAATTAAATTTTTAAGAATTATTACATTTTTTTTAGCAATTACTGTAAAATTGTATTAAAAATGATTAAAAATCCTGCAATTGATTTTATTATTTATGAAAATAATTGAATTATTGTGGAAAATTTTAGTAAAATGTTTAAAAAAAATTGAATTTCTGTTAAATTTTTTGTTATTTTTGAAAATAATTGAATTTTGCAAAAAAATTTATAAACATTGTTTTAAATAATTAATTTTTTCGAAATATAATAAATATTATAAAAATTTTATTTTGAATAATTGAATTCATGTGGAAAACTTCATTTGTGAAAATAATTGAATTTTTCGATTAATTAATTTAAAATAGTATTAAAAATAATGGAAATTCTTCGATAAGTTTTATTATTTATGAAAATAATTGAATTCTTGCTTAGAATTTTATTAAAAAGATTAAAAATCCTGCAATTGATTTTATTATTTATGAAAATAATTGAATTATTGTGGAAAATTTTAGTAAAATGTTTAAAAAAAATTGAATTTCTGTTAAATTTTTTGTTATTTTTGAAAATAATTGAATTTTGCAAAAAAATTTATAAACATTGTTTTAAATAATTAATTTTTTCGAATTATAATAAATATTATAAAAATTTTATTTTAAATAGGGTAAATGCACTAGTAGTCGGACACTTAAGGATACAATCTTAAATTATGCTTTTTTTCTTGAAATAGCAAATATCTACTGTGTTTATAAGCACATTATTAATTAAAGGAGTTCTTCAGGATTAAAAATCATATAAATTTGTTACAAATAGTTGAGTATTTAATAAAATATAAACATTTTAATAAAAAAATTACGAATGCTTTAGTAGTCGGACACTTTTTCCCCTTGTTTCTATAGTCGGACATCTGTCAGATATTTTGGATTTATAAAGTAAAACAGATAATTTTTTAATTGCTATCGGCTGAAAAATGGAATTAAGGCATATTAGAAGTTATTAATATAATATTTAAACCCTATAAGTTTTAATATTTATGATTAATTATCAACAAAACTTTGTGCCACTCATCGCGCTACTCGAAAATGGTTGTATCTATAGTCGGACACCATGATTTTTAAAACATTAAATAAAATATTTCTTGTTTAATTATTTTCAAAAATAACACTATTTTAATAAAATGTAAACTTCACACATTCGTCTAGTATACTTTTTAAAGTAATTATCACAATGCATTATTATTTATTTGCCAAAAAACACGGAATTGTCCGACTACTAGTACTGTCCGACTATACCCGCACTTACCCTAGTTGAATTCTTGTGGAAAACTTTATTTGTGAAAATAATTGAATTTTTCGATTAATTAATTGAAAATAGTATTAAAAATAATTGAAATTCTTCGATGAGTTTTATTATTCATGAAAATAATTGAATTCTTGTTTGGAATTTTATCAAAAAAATTTTTTAAAAATTGAATTTCCATGAAAAATGGTGAATTTTTTGAATAATTGAATTTTGGTTGAATTTTATTAATTTTTATTAAAAATAATTGAATTCTTTTGCGAAATTTGTTGAAAATGTTAGATAAATTGAAAATAATTGAATTTCGAATATTTTTTGAAAATAATTGACTCGTTTTAAAGAATTTGATTATAATTTTTGAGAATAGTTTTTTTGATTTTTACTATTAGCGAATTTAAAGTAGTGGAAATTCTCAAAAAAAAAAAAAAAAAACAGAAATAGTAGCTTTTAGTGGCTGAAATCTAAAAAAAGTACCCAAATAGTAGCGTAACGTAAAAAAAGTAGTAAATAGTAGGTAGGAATAAATAATTTACAGTGATCTGTAAATTCAATGATAAAATTATGAAAATAATTGAATTCTTGCGAACGATTTTATTAGAATTTTTTTAAAATAATTGAATTTCCAATGAAGAAATTTATCACTTTTAAGAATAATTGAATTCTTGTGATTATACAAGAAAAAAAAATAATAGATTTTTATAGAATTTAAAGAATTTTTCTAGAATTAAGAAAATGTCTTGAAAAATAATTGACGATAAATAAAAATAGTTGTTGATCGCAACGAAGAAATAATAAAAAGTGAGAGCTTTCACTTGGACTTGTAATTGTGCTTTTATGCGTATAACATTACACATGAATGCATGCGACTTTTGACAATTAGGATTTTGCACTTTGATTTTGCTTGTTTTGTGTGTTTGTGTGTAAGTGAGTAAGAGAGAGAATCACAATTGAGAGGAACATTATATTAGAGGATCTTTTACGTCTAGTATTGCGATGACCCCTTCCACCAGCAATCGTGTACTCTTTTATTACGACATTGCGACATGACGTAGGCACAGACACGCGATTGCTATCGTTCACCAGAGGAGCTATAGGGTTCCTTTAGTTTGAGTTGTACCACCCGTCGGCGCGCCAACGCTTGCGCTCTTTTCTTCGAAGGAAATAAAAAAAAAAAAAAAAAAAAAAAAAAAACAAGTTGGCAAAAAACCACGAATAGCGCCTAGCGAATGTCAACATGCTCGAGCTTTTAAAACTCTAAATACCTTTGCCGGCAAATCACAGTTATTTTCACCTTTTTTTTTCTTTCTTTTTGTACATTTCAATAAATAAATACAAATAATTTTTTGTAAAAATAGAAACAAATAGGAGAAATTTGAATAAGATTTGTCTCTTTTATTCAGTGAACAAGTGCTTTTTTATAATTGAAGAAAATTGATAACTTTTTTTTTGAGAAGAAGAAATAAGAGAAAAATCATTTTTCGTGTCAACGTTCTTTATACAAGTGTCGCTATTTGATGAATTTTTTTCTTCTTCTTCTTACCCCGTGTATTATAACGGTTCTTTGACTCAAGTGTGATTTGTTACTAATTTAAGGACTCTATTGGAATTTGCACGCTAATTGTCTTCTAATTACGAATTTTCAACGATATGGCGTCTAACATTAAATACACAGGTGAGTTTTTTCTGAAAGAAAATTCAATTTTTATTTTTCAATGCGCTATTTACTCTTTAACACTTTATTTTATTCAAATAAATAATTAAATCACCTCTTTATTTATTATCTGCTTATTAATTATTATTTCTTTATTTATTACTTTTTTTTGTTCATCAAGTTTTTATTTCTTTTATTTTATGTACTTCTTTAATTATTTTATTACTCTCTAAATTTGAATTAATAAAAATGTTTGCTTATTTGAATATCAGTGACTGACTTTTTGCTTTTGAATTACTAAATTTTACTAATAAATAGTAATTTCTACTAACTTAATAGTAAAATTTTACTAATAAATAGTATTTTCTACTAATTTAATAGTAAAATTTTACTAATAAATAGTATTTTCTACTATTTTCTATTAATTAATAGTAAAATTTACTAAATTACTATTCAGTAAATTTTCCTAATAAATAAAGTAAATTCTACTAATTTAATAATAAAATTTACTATTTAGTAAATTTTACTAATAAATTAGCAGTAGAAATTACTATTCCACTAAATCTATTAGTAAAATTCACTAAATAGTAATTTCTACTAAATTTATTAGTAAAATTTACCAAATAGTAATTTCTACCAATTTATCAGTAAAATTTAATAAATAGAAACTTCTACTAATTTAATAGTAAAATTTACTAATTCAAAAGCAAAAATTCAGTAAATTTTACTAAAAAAGAGTAATTTCTACTAATTTCATAGTAAAATTTACTATTTAGTAAATTTTACTAAAAAAGAGTAATTTCTACTAATTTAATAGTAAAATTTACTATTTAGTAAATTATACTAATAATAATTTTACTAATAAATAAAGTAAATTCTAATAATTTAATAGTAAAATTTACTATTTATAGTAAATTTAATAGTAAAATTTACTAAATAGTAATTTCCACTAATTTATTAGTAAAATTTAATAAATAGAAATTTCTACTAATTGAATAGTAAAATTTACTATTTCAAAAGCAAAAATTCAGTAAATTTTACTTAAACAATAGTAATTTCTACTAATTGAATAGTAAAATTTACTAATTTAAAAGCAAAAATTCAGTAAATTTTGCTAAAAAATAGAAATTTCTACTAATTTTTTAATAAAATTTACTAATTCAAAAGCAAAAAGTCAGTTTCGAATTTAAATTAATAAACATTTTTACTAATTCAAATTTAGAGAGTATTTTTTTTAAATTTTATTTGTTTATTTATTTTTAAATCTTTTTTATTAATTTTTTATTGACTTTTCATTAATTATTATTCTATTTTTACTTTTCATTTATATTTATTAAATACAAAGATTTAATAAAATTTACTCTTTTGAAAATATAAAAGAATCTTAATTAATTACTATTTTTTATTATTGAAAATAATTATTTATTTATTAAAAATACATACATATTGTTTATTACGTTCATTATTTACAATCGTAGCTAATTAACAATGTTAAATTAGTAGTGAATTATTATTAATTAACAAATTGTTGATTAGCAGTGAACTATTTTGTGAATTCACTAAAAAGTAGTTAATTAATTAATTAATCAATTAAGTAATCATATAGTTATCGTTAATTAATTAAAAGCATCGAGCTATTGTTTGAATAATAATTACCAATTGACAACAAACTATTATTGTTTTTGTTTTCCAATTGATAATTATTTATGTTAAATATTTATTATCCACAATTATTATTGAAAAATTTAATTATTAAACAAAAATATTATAAAAATTTTAAATTAAATAAATAAAAAAAAAATGTATTATAAAAATTCTGTTTTGTAAAACGATTTGGTAGTTTACTTACATTGTAGGACGGAGATTTATTTTTGTTATACAGAATTTTGTTTATTTTTATTGCTGACGAATAAATAATACTATTACTCTACTACAAATTAATTAATTCATTTTATAGTATTGAATTCATTAAATAAAAAATAATTAATTAATTAATTACAAACTTAATTAAAACATTTAAAAAATTAATTAATTATTAATTAATAGAATAATATATAAATTAATTTTAATATAATTTACTCGAGTTAATAGTAATATTAATGATTAAAATATTATTAGTGGATTGTCAATGAAATGATTATTAATCAAGTAATATATTATTTTTATTAATCGTAAATAATTTAATTACAATTTAATAGTAAAATTAATTAAATAAAATTAAATATTATATTATAAGGGAGCGTTCACAAATGGAAAAAAAAATTTGTTTCATTTAAATAATTTTTATTTAAATCAATTAAATATTTTGCTTCAAATACTAAAATTATTGGTTCAAAAATACAATTTATTTGATTTAAATAAAAGTGTAATAAAAATTATTTATTTCAAGTAAATATTTATTTGATAATAGACGAGCAATCAGTTATTTGAATCAAATAAATTTTTCTTCACTGTTTTTTATTATACTACATAAATATAATATTATTATATGGAAAAAAAATATAAATTATTTTATTTTCGGTTCACTATTTTATTATTTTTTATTTATTTTTTAAAAAAGATAATAATTTATGCTTATTACCAAAAAAATAATTTATATTTTATTATATTAAACAATTTAATTAATTTGTAGTATAGTAATAGTATTATTTATACGTAAGCAATAAAAATAAACAAAATTCTCTATAATAAAAATAAATCTCCGTCTTACAAATTACAATAATGTAAATAAACTACTACGGCTGTTCGTTTTGCAAATAAAGTTTTTCAATTTAATTACGAAATTTGTTTCTCGTGCCACATTATCGAATAACATACGTATAAGTATACACACAGTGCAGTATTATTATGCAAAATCTTATTTATTCCCAGCACTGTCCTTCCAAATTTACAATGTATAAACAATTCTGCGGTAATTTAAAATTTCTAATTTTAAATTAATAATTATTAAAATTTAATAATTGTCTTATAAGAAAATTATTGTATCTCTCTTATACGTTTTATAATACTATAGTTTGTATATTTTCTAAATATATTGTCCTGAATTTCATGTAGTCTAAATATACAAATACTTTCGTTGACTCCAGGAAAATTGTGGTAGAAACAATTTGACTTTTTTTTTATTTTTTTTAATAAAAATTTTGTTTGTAATTATTATGTTGAAAATTATATTGACGAAATTTATAAATATAATTTTAATTTACATTCATGCCAAAAGGAAAATGCTATTAATTTCAATGAATATGCTTTTACTAATAATAGAATTCTTCACTGAATCGTGATACACGTGTTGAGATTTCACATAGAGTGTGTATTATATATTCAAATACGAATAATTTTCTATTATATATTTCAAAACGTGTCTGAAATTTTTTTTTTTTTTTTTTTTTTATAAATATATTCAAACTTTTTGTTTATCTGAATAATTTTATTGTTTTATCGTAATTCTTACTTTGCAAAAATGAAACTTATTTCTTAAAAATTATTTTTTAATGGAAAAATTATAAATTAGGTAAAAAATAATTATTTTTGTTTACTACGACTAACTGTATAAAGTAATTATTTTATTATAAAAATAATTATAATAAAAATTACTATATTATAAAAATAATTATAATGAAAACTATAATTATTTTTATTACACTAATAATTATTTATTATTTTTTTATTTATTTAACAAAAAATTCATCTAAATTTTGACGTAACGTTTCGGCCCTTAGGGGAGGGGGCGTTACATGGGGGTTTAACAATTAATAATTTTTATTATAATTATTTATTAATTACAAATTGTGTAGTTTGTATTTATTCGCAATTACAATTTAGTAGAGTGAATAATTAAAATTAATTATGAAGCATTAAGACAATAACAGATCATAAATCATAAATAATTATATATAATTATAAAATAATAATAATTATAAAAAAAATAATTATATAAAACTGAATAATTATATAAAGAACTATAAATAATTAAAAATTCTTAAGATTAATTGTAAACAATATTATGAATTTAATTATAAATAATTATGAATTGTTGTCAATAATTATCATATAAGTTATAAGGAATTCAAAAATGATTAATTACTATATTAAATTATAAAAATTTAACAGTTATTAGACGGTTATTAAAATTAATGCGAATTAAATTCTACTTTATGTAAAAATTTTACAGTTATTAGTCGATTATTATAAATAATGCGAATATTAAATTCTATTTATGTAAGAGTTTAATAGAAATTAGATTATTAAAAATGTTCTAATTTTAATTTATTAATTTTTAATATTTTTTTTAGAAAATAATATTTAATATGTACCTGTAGAATAATGTACTTTTTGATGTCGTCTAAATAAGTTTAACTTATTAAATAAACATGACACTAGGTTTTAATGTCAAATGGAAAAAGACTTCAATGCTCGAATTGAAAATGCCTGAATTTTCAAGTATATTGTCAACAATTGTAATTTATTCAAATATTATAAAATAATCAGTTTGGACGATAAAATTTCCTCTCAATTGTTTAAATTTGAATTTCTGAATATTGAGCTTTTTTTCCCCATGCAAAGCAAAATTTATGTTTTCGAACAATTGAATTTAAAAGAAAAATTTTACCCATAGGAAAAAAGATATTTTTTTCACAACATATTGTTTTTTTAAAAAAAATTTTTAAACAAATTTGAAAAAAGAGAAAAATTTTTCCATAGGAAAAAAATTATTTTTTTTACAACGTATTGTTTTTTTTAAAGTTTTCAAACAAATTATTAAATTTCGTAATTAAAATTAAAAGAAGAAAAAATTTTCCCCCATAGGAAAAAAAAATTTCTTTTGAAAACTTATTGTTTTTTAGAAAAAAAAATTTTTTTTGCATAAGAAAAATATATCTAGAAAAAATAATAATTTTAAACAAATTGAAAAAAGAGAAAATTTTCCCTATGGGAAAAAAATACTTTCTTTTGAAAACTTATTTTCTAAAAAAAAATTTTTTTTTCTAAAAAGAAAAAAATATGTTCCTTCTGGAAATGAATGGAATTTTAGAACAAAAAAAATTTGAATGAAGAACTATTTATTATCTGTTTTGAAACGTATATAGAGAAAACTTTCCTCCGAGTTCTATTAAAGAACCTTCATATCTGAAAATTTTATTCGCCAGACTAATCGCTCATTTTTTTTTAATGAGCCTAAAACCTTGGAAATGCATAAAACTTACTCTGCAACTGTGATTCAATCATTGAAAGAGAGAAAGAGTGAGAGAATTTATTTCTCATTGATAGATAATATGTTTTGTGATAATTTAATATAAATTTTTCTTCAATAAACGGAAGTTATCGTTTGTAACCATTATCGCCATTTTTTCCCCCTTTTTTCTTATATTCATTCAGACAATCTAAATTATTCCATTACAATTCCAATTTAGATATTTCACTCGGAAACTAATTTTCCAATTTTTTTTTTTCTTTCAAATTGAATTAATTTTAACATTTATCAGATTAATTTGTTACATTGAAAAAAATAACAATTTACGAAAATTATTTTTTGGTAGACTTTTGTTGTATTTTATTTTTCATTTATTTGATTATTTATTTATTTAAATAATTATTTATTTAATTATTTACTTAATTATTTATTTACTTACTTCAATATTTATTTAATTCATTAATTATAATTTTAATTAATTTCTTATAACTATTCATTTATCTAATTGTTTATTCAATTATTTATTCAATAATTTCCAAAATTGCAATTAAATTTTTTAACCAGGTTAATTAATAAAATTTTAGTAAATTATAAAATTTTCAATTTTCAATTGAAAATTTTTGAATAATTTCATAATCAAAATTTTAAAAAATTCAATTATTAGGTACAAAATTAATTATTATTGTTTGTATTTTCAAAAATTTAAATATAATTCTTTGCAAGAATTCAATTATTTTCATAAATAATAACATTCTTGAGAAGAATTCAATTATTTTTATAAATAGCACAATTTTTTGCCAAAATTCAATTTTTAAAAAATTTCACGAAAGAAATCAATTTTTTTTCTTAATTCGTAATATTTTTCAAAAGAATTCAATTATTTTCTAAAAATTAAAAAAATTCTTTAAAACAATTCAATTATTTTTTTTAATACAATTTTTAAAATATTTCATGAAAGAATCCAATTTTTTAAAAAATTTTTAATGAAATTTCACAAAAAAATTTAATTATTTAAAAAATTTTTTAAAATCTTTGCAAAAATATAATTATTTTTAATAAAATTTCAAGAAAGAATTCATTTTTTTTCGTAATTCGTTATAAAATTGTTCATATAAGAATTTAAGTATTTTCTACAATTTTAATAAATCCTTCGAAACAATTCAATTTTTTTCAAAATTGTTATTAAAATTATTTTAGAAAATTGTAATAAAATTCTAAAAAGATGTTAATTATTTTCTAAAAATTTTAATTAAATTCAATAATTTATGATTTATTTCTTTTGTAATTTTCTTTAGAATATAAGATCTCTTTTGTTAAGGACTTTTTTGTCCGTCCAAACTTTAAATAAATAAATAAATAATTTAATTGTTAAATTTAAATTATTAAGAAACACGATTATTTAAAAAACTTGAAAGAAATTCAATTATACATTCAAAATTATCAATTTATTTATTTATTTTCAAAAAGTTTAATAAAACTTTTCGCAAGAATTCAATTAATTTTCCATAAATAATAAAATTCTTCGAAGAAATTCAATTTTTTAAAAATTGTTACTAAAATTATTTTAGAAAATTTTAATAAAATTCTAAAAAGATGTTGATTATTTTCTAAAATTTTTTTATAAAATTCAATAATTTAATTGTTCAATTTCAATTATTAAAAAACACGATTATTTGAAAAACTTGAAAGAAATTCAATTATAAAATTCAATTAAGTACATTCAACATTTTCAATTTATTTATTTATTTATTTATTTAATTTCAAACATTTTAATAAAACTCTTTGCAAGAATTCAATTATTTCCGTAAATAAAAAAATTCTTCGAAGAAGTTCAATTATTCTCAAATTTTTTGATAAAATGCTTTGCAAGAATTCAATTATTTTCTTAAATAATAAAATTTCTTGAAGAAATTCAATTATTCTCAAATTTTTTTATTAAATTCTTTTGTCAAGAATTCAATGATTTTCATATTCATTTTAAAATTGAAAATGTTTAAAAAGGAAAATTTATTAAAAAAGTCTGGAATCAAAATAGCAAACAACATAATTGTAATAATTATTTATTTATAATTATATTTACTCAAATATTTATTTAATTTTTTTACTTATTAATTAATAAAGTAAATAAAAAAAATTTCAAATTTTAAATTGTGTCAAATAATTTAATATTGTTTAATAAATAAATATATAATCGTAATAATTATCTATATTAAGAATTATTTTCTTAATTACTTATTAAATTAATAATTTATTTATTCAATTATTTATTTAATTATCTTTTTAATTATTTATTTAATTATTTATTTAGTTATTACATTATTTATCTAAACTATTTATTTAATTATTTGATTATTTATCTAGAACTATTTATTTAATTATTTAGGTAATTATTTAATTATTTATCTAAACTATTTATTTATTTAATTTTTTCTTACAAAAATCTAAGTCTGGGAACATTTTAGGAAAAAATTGTAGGAAAATATAAATCGTTTTTGAAAAGAAAAATAAAGTTATTTTTAATGAATTTGGATCGAGAGGAATAAAGAAGAAAACTACAATAATTTCCTCTCAAGGGATTCCCAAGGGTGATTGCTGGAAACAACCGGCATGTACTTACTTTCACAATGCATAATGTATTCGTCAATATCACCGTAATTATCTGTAATTATGGCATAATATACTTTATGATTGGTCCATGGCACCATTTCGTCATTAATCTTGAGCAAGGTTAAAAATCGACATTCCATTCTGTAATTTCAAATCCATTTCTATATTTATAGACTCCTTAATTACCAACTCTCATCTATTGTCTTCTATTTATAACCCTGGTTCAATAAAACGACAAAAAAATTACATTTTCAATTCATTTGCACCATTCGCAAAAAGAAATTTTCCACATTCGCGTTAGCCGAAGGCGCTAAGGCGCTTTACAAGCTGGGTTTGATTATCCGGTCGGGGTTCGATCCCACCCGGGAATAAATTTTATTCCTATTTTTTCGAATTCAGTCCAACTTGTAGTTGAACAATTCTTGTTATTATTATAATAATTAACATAATCTTTCTTCACGTGAAGTTAGTGTTTCTTTATTCCAATTTTTTATAGTTCGAATTGTGATGTCAAAAATTTGACAGTTAATTTGTAAATAATAAAATGGAGTAAAAAAATTTAAACCCCAATTTCAAAAACTCAATAAAGAGGTGCAGTTGCAATGTTTAAAAATAATAGCAGAGCATTTCGAAATTTTAAGCAAATAAAAAGAACAATAAGAATTTAAATCTTTATTTTAGAAAAATGATTGAAATTTGAAAAATTTAATTTAGAAATTCTGAAAAAATTAGGTTTTTGAAAAATAGTAATTAAAATTTTTTGAATATCTATAAATATCATTGAATATCTATAAATATAATTGTATTTTTGAAAAAACATTATTTTTTCAATTTACAAAAATTAATCAAATTTAAATAATTCAATTCTCGTCGTTGAATTTTGATAGAAATTGATTTTAAAAAAATCACAGTTAAAATTTTAGGAAACAATTGAATATTTAAAACGTTATAACATTAATTTTAGGAATTAATTGAATTTTAAAATGTTTTTAAATTAAATTCCTTGAAAATTTAAGTCAAGGAAAAGTAGAAAAGAATAAAATTTTTATTTAAAAAAAATATTGTTTACATTTTTTTTCTTTAAAAATTCTAAAAAAAGAATTAAATTTTTGAAGAATTACAGTTGCAACTTTTAGAAATAATTAAATTTTATGAGGTTTTTCATGGAAAGTAATTCAGAAGATAATTAAATTTTTTCGAAAAATATTCTTAATAAAAATTTTAAAAAAATTGAATTTTATGAAATTTTATTAAAATTGTATTAAAAATAAAATTTTTAAAAAGAATTTTACTATTTATACAAATAATTGAATTGTTTCAAAGGATTTATTAAAGTTTTTGAAAATTAATAAATTCTTTTGTGAGATTTTATTAAAATTTTATTGAAAATAATTGAATTTTTGCAAAAAAAAATTGTACTTTTTATAAAAATAATTGAATTCTTGCGAAAAATTGTATTTTTGAAAATACATAATTTTATGAATTTACAAAAAATTATTGTATTTACATAATTCATATTCATATTCATATTCTCGTCGTTGAATTCTGATAGAAATTGATTTAAAAAAAAATTCAGTTAAATTTTTAGAAAATAATTGAATATTTAAAGCCTTTATAACATGAATTTTAGGAAATAATTAAATTTTAAAATGTTTTTAAATTGAATTCCTTAAAAATTTAAGAGAAGCAAAAATAAAGACATTTTTATTTTAAAATATTAATAATTATATTATTTTTCTTTAAATATTCTTAGTTTTTCAATAATATTATTTAAAAATTCTAAAAAAAAAAAAAATAATTGAATTTGGAAAGAATTACGGTTGCAATTTTTAGAAAATAATTAAATTTCATATTTGAAATTTTAATTTATGTGGAAAAATAAATATAAAATAAGTTTCTAAATATTTTGTTTAACCGAAAGAATTGAAGTTTTGAATAATTTCATTTAGAAATTACGAAAAATTGTTTCTTGAAAAAATGTATTTAAAATTTTTTTCAAATAATTGTATTTCTAAAAATAATTTTAAATAATTGAAATAATTGAAAATTTGAAACAATTGAAAATTTTGATAAATTTCATTGAAATAAATTTAATATTTTATCGAATTTTATTTGTTTACTTTTAAAAATTATTTTGAAATATAATTGTATTTTTGAAGAATTCTAATTGAAAATATGGAATATTATTTCAATTATATTGAAAAAGAATTTACCAAGTTCATGTTAGCCGAAGACGTTAAAGCGCTTTGCAAGCCAGCTTTGATTATCCGTTCGGGGTTCGATCCCACGCGGGAATAAATTTTCATCAAATTTTTTCGAGTTTAGACAACTTGTAGTTGAATAATTCTTGTTATTTTATTTGTTATTTCTTGTTATTTTTGTTAAATTGAATTAATTCGTATTAAAATTGAAGTCTTGAATAAAAAAAAGTAAATAAAATAAAGTCGCACGCGAAAGAAAATAATTTTTCTCAAAAAATTCTTTGCGAGTAGCGGCAAGTGAATCATAATGTATCGAAGATGAAAGCCAATCACAGAACAAACACTCGTAATTTATGGTTATTTGAGATTAAATTCAATGAAGAAGAGTAACAAATATCTACAAATGAGATCGTAAACGATATTCCTGGCGCCAATTGAACTTAATGAATGAATGTCTCTTCAGCATTAACCTTTTGAATCATTTCAAATTCAATACTATAATTTTGCTCTTACCCTCCGAACTCTCGTTTATTAACTAATCCAATTTACCAGGGAGGAAGGCGCTCTCCTCTCTATTTTAGTTATCTTGCACCCACGTGCGGATCTTCAAATGACATCAAGTGTATATCCGAAACAAGTTCTAGTTCTAGGTGAAGGTAATTGGTTGCGATTATTTAACATCCTTGAGAACGACTCTGTAATGACAAATGAGAAAGTATATGACAATTATAATACTGTGGAGATTTTGACAAAAAATTATCGTACATTGACCCTTAAATAAATTGAGAGTGAAAATAGGAATAAAAAAAAATCATAAAAGGAGAATAAAATTTGGATGATTAATTCCTAGTATTGTTTAGATAAAAAAAATTTAATTCTCAGATATTAAACGTAAATAAATATATTCTGTTTAATGCAAAAAATTAAATTTCATAAAATTTACAGTAGAAATAAAAATGACTAAAAAAAATTATTTCTAAAAACTCACGCTCACGTGTTTTTAATATTCAATTATAATCTAAAATTTTAATTGAAATTTATTTTTAATTTAAATTTTTATTAAAAATTCTGCTAGAATTCAATTATTTAAATACAAAAATAAATCATTTATTGAATAATAATTGAATGTTTCCCAAAATTTAATCAACAAATTTTTAAATAAATGTATTCTTTCGACAAATTTTAATAAAAATATTAATAATAATTATTACATTTTTCGAGGAATTTGATTCAAATTGTATTAAAAATAATTGAATTCTTATAAAAAGAATTTCATTATCATTTAAAAGTAATTGATTTTCTGCAATCATTTTTAACTTCTCCAAAATTCAATTTTTTTTAGTGTCTTTAAGTAAAATTTTTCTATAAATCCTTTATTTTTAATTATTATTAATAATAAATGAAAAATATATTGACAAATTTTTAACTAATTTCAAGAAGAATTTGAATTATTAAAATTTTTCAAAAATCTAAGTCCTTTAAAATTTCTATAATAAAATTCATTAAAAATTGAATTTTTCTAAAATTTTAAATTAAAACCTCTTGAAGTTAATTTATTTTTGAAACTTGTGAATGTTAAATTGAAATTGAATTTTTTAAAATTGAATTAATTTTGAAATATTTAAGTAAAATTATCTTCTATATTAATAATCGTTGTATTCCGGTAATTTAATTATTTAGGAAAATAATTGAATTCTCAAAAAGAAATGTAAAAATTTTTGATAATTCTAATTAAACTCTTTTCGAAGAATTTCTTTGAATTTTTTTTTTCAATTAATGGAGTTTTTTTTAAACATTTTAATTAAAAATCTTAAAAATAATTGAATTTTATGAGCAATATCTTTCAAGTTTTTAAAATAATCGTGTTTGTTAATAAAATTGAAATTAAACATTTAATTATCGAAATTTTATTAAAACTTTTGAAAATTCTTTTGAAAAATTTTATAACGAATTAAGAAAAAATTGAATTTGTTCGTGAAATTTTTTTTTTTTGAAGAGAATTGAATTTTTGCAAAGATTTTTATTATTTATACATCTAATTGAATTGTTTCGAAGGATTTATTAAAAGTTCCAAAAATAATTGATGTTTTGCAAAGAATTTCATTACATATTTACAAATATAATTGAAATTTTTCGAAGAATTTATTAAAATTTTAGAAAATAATTGAATCCTTTGGAATTTTTTATAACCAATTAAGAAAAAAAAATTGAATTTTTTTGAGAAATTGTTTTGAATATAATTGAATTTTTACAAAGAATTTTACTATATTTATGAATATAATTGAATTATAATGAAAGATTTATTAAAATTATAGAAAATAATTGAATTCTTTTGAAATATTTGATATCGAATAAAGAAAAAATTTTGAATTTTTGCGAAAATTTTTTTGGAAAATAATTGAATTTTTGCAAAGATTTTACTACTTAAAAAAATAATTGAATTCTTTCCAAGAATTGATTAAAATTTCAGAAAATAAATAAATTCATTCGTGAAATGTTATTAAAATTTTATTTGAAAATAATTCAATTTTCGCAAAAAATTTTACTATTTATAAAAATAATTGAATTCTTTCGAAGAATGTTATTTTATTTATGTAAATAATTGAATTCTTGAGAAGAATTTTATTAAAAATTTTGGAAAATTCTTCTGAAATATTTTATAAGGAGAATTAAGAAAAAAATTAAATTCGTTCCTGAAATTTTTTTTAATATAATTGAATTCTTGCAAAGATTTTTATTATATATTTATAAATATAATTAAATTGGTTTGATAGATTTAATAAAATTTTTAAAAATAATTGAATTTTTGCAAAGAATTTTACTAGATTTACAAATAAAATAGAATTTTTTCAAACAATTTATTAAAATTTTAGAAAATAATTGAAACCTTTGAAATTTTTTATGTAACGAATTAAGAAAGAGAAATTGAATTCTTTCATTAAATTGTTTTGAATAATTGATTTTAGAAAATAATTGATTTTTTTTGAAATTTTTTTTTTTTTTTTTTTTCATTTATTAGCAAGTGAATTCTTTAATGAATTTTTATTAATAGTGTATTAAAAATAGTTAAATTTTTGCAAAGAATTTTACTATTTATAAATAAAATTAAATTGTGTCGAACGATTTATAAAAATTTTAGAAAATAATTGAATTCTTTTGAAATATTTGATATCGAATAAAGGAAAAAATTCAATTCTTTCGTGAAACTTTTTGGAAAATAATTGAATTTTTGCAAAGATTTTACTATTTAAACAAATAATTGAATTTTTTCGAAGAATTTATTAAAATTTTAGAAAATAATTGAAACCTTTGAAATTTTTTATGTAACGAATTAAGAAAAAAATTGAATTCTCTCGTGAAATTGTTTTGAATATAATTTAATTTTTGCAAAGAATTTTACTATTTATGAATATAATTGAATTGTATTGAAGGAATTTATTAAAATTTTAGAAAATAATTGAATTTTTTCGAGAAATATTATTAAAAATTTTTTAAAATTGTTTCTTTCATGAAATTTTATTAAAATTGTATTAAAAATAGTTAAATTTTTGCTGAAGAATTTTACTATTTATAAATAAAATTGAATTGTGTCGAACGATTTATAAAAATTTTAGAAAATTGAATTCTTTTGAAATAATTGATTTCGAATAAAGAAAAAAATTGAATTCTTTGGTGAAATTTTTTGGAAAATAATTTAATTTTTTTAATTTTTTTTTTGCAAAGATTTTACTATATTTCCAAAAATAATTGAATTGATTGAAATTTTAGAAAATAATTGAATTCATTTGTGAAATGTTATTAAATTTTTTTTTTTAAATTATTGAATTCCTAAAAAACATTTTATTATTTATGAAAATAATTGATTTCTTATGAAGAATGTTATTATTTATACGTAAATAATTGAATTCCTAAGAAGAATTTTATTAAAATTTTTGAAATTATTAAACAAGATTAATTAATTTTATACTTAATAAGTGAATTTTTTTAATTTTCCGATTGTGAAATTATTCAAAACTTTATAATTGAAAATTGAAAATTAAGTTATTGCTGAATTCAAATTGAGGTCATAATTGAAAAAGTCATCTTCAAATTGTCGATTAAAAGTAGTTTAAATGTTTTCTCAGGGCTTTCAATAAAAAAAATTCTCTTTTCTACATTTTTATCACGAAAAACTGCACTTTTACTGTACTGGACAGAAATTAAAAATAGAATAATAAATAAATTTTATTTCAATCTTTATTTTTGATGAATTATTTTAATTGACTGACAACTATTAAAAAACCATATATTTTATTTATATGTTAAGATTATTTTCCTGTAAAAAAATTTCAAAAATATATTTAATCATTAGTGTAAATAATTCTCTTGAACTAAAAATGAAGAGTTCTATTTTTACGTTTCCCTTGATGGCTGAACATGTAAATTTTTGTTGTCAATTTTTGCTGTGTGTTGTGAAGACTTAAAGAACGATAAAACTTGAGATGCAGAGAAGAAGAAGAAGAAGAAGAAGAAGAAGAAGAAGAGGAAGAAGAAGAGGAATCTTTTATAAGAAAATGCATTGCTTCCTCTCTATAATACTTACAGTAGGACAAATGCACACTATGCATACAACAATCACGTATAATTTAATAATGAATTGACAACCGACAACCGACAATCGACCGTGAAACAAGACCATGTACACGAGGTGGGATTTTGGACGTGAGAATCAAAAAATTGAGGTCACTGATGACCTTTAGTGCATTTTGAGTAAGTGAAAGGATTAGTGAATTCAAAATGTAATGAATAAACATCTGAATTGTATAAACAATCAAAAAATACAATTTTCAATCAAAACTAGTCGCGTCATATTAGTCAAATATTTATCGTCAATAGTCGAAATCATCGCAGTAAATGATGAAAAGTTTATTATTCAAAAATAATAAAATTTACTCGAGTTTTTTTTTTTTTTTTTTTTTTTTTTTTTGAATAATGAGAGCATTAAAAAGTGGAGTAACAAATTTTTTGTTTACTCTGCAAACTCGAAGCGTCGTCGTTCTATTTCAATATTGAATATATCTACGTCAAACTATGTTGTATGAATTGGAAAAAATCTAAGACGATAATAAGCGAATAATATTTGTCAATTTTTACAATAATTCTTTATTAACTGTACTTCTTTTTTTTTACACTCAGCTGTTGAGTAATTGTTTACAATTTTATTTATTTTTAACGGGTCGAAAATTTATCACGATTGCCAAACAATATGAATATTTAATCGAGAGAAAAAAAATACAATTTGCATTATAACAATTTTTTTATTTATTTAGTAATATACAAGTTTTTTTTTGCAATTTTGTATCTACAAAATATATTTTTTTCTCTAATCCAATTTTTACAAATTTTAAATCAATGTGACAAATTTTTCGTCCATGGAAAAAATTTACGAATTTTACTTTTAAATATTTTTTTATTGAAAATGTTCTAGAAATTGAATTTCAAATTATTGTTCTTTTATTATTTGAATATTAACGATTTTAAATTATTTTAAAATTTTATTTATTTATTTGTTATCGTTCATGATTTCATTTATTTTTATTAACTCTCAAAATCTGAATTTCTTAAAAATAACTAATTGTTAGGAAAATCTTGGCTGACTTTTTGCTTTAGCAAATAATAAAAATTAACTAATTATATAGAAAATATAGTTAATTAT